GGGTGGAGGGTGTTTGGGGGGGAAATAGGGTGTCGGGAGGAGGAGGGGAGAAGGCGGGGAGAGGTTGCCAGGTACCACTGACGAATGAAGCAAAGGACAGAGACAGACGGATACTCCAGGCTTACAGGATTAGACAGATAGGGGGGACAGTTGGCAGTTGGCAGTTGGCTCCGCCCCTCGTGTTTTTTCTGTCTAACGGCTTCTCTGCAGGCTTGTTAAGTCCCCTTCTAGCCGGTAGAGCCGTAGCCGCGGGTTCTCGCCGCGCTTCCTATAACACAAATTGCAAACTGTCCATGGTTCGTGTTACATCATAGTACGAATCGCACACCTTCTGACACTGTACGGCATCCTTCTGTGTCGTACAGGCGGAGCCGGTCGATACGGAAGTCCACCGCAACATCACTACTGCTTACAACGCCAACCCGTGGCGCGCTAGCGCTAGTCGACAGCTGTCCCGTGTGTTGGAAGTAGAGGAGGGAGCCGATGGGGCCCGCGCACTGATGTCGCCGCCGCGTGGTGGGGGACACCATAGGCACGCCGCTGGCGGCGGCGCTGGCGGCGGCGGCGGCACCGCTGCCGCTGGAGCCAAAGGCGCGGCCACGGCGGCGGCGGGGGCTCAGGACGATGCGCTGGATCCAGATGATCAGCTCATGACGTTGGACGAGCTGGCGGCTGAGGTTGAGCAGCAGGAGGAGAAGAGTGAGGAGGAGGAAGGGGAGGGCGACGGCGACGCCGACGGCGACGCTGGCGGCGGGCAGCAAGAGGGTGCTGGCGGCGGCGGCGGCCGCCGTCGCCACGGTGCGCATGGGGCGCGGGGCGAGGAGGACGAGGAGGAGGAAGGTGGTGGCGGCGGCGGCGGCCGCCATTCGCACGCCGCCACGGCTGGCAGATCGTCCGTGGGGCACGGGCACAAGGGCGGCGGCGGGGTTAAGGACGACGCGTCAAGCGTGGCGGGACATTCTGCAGTTGACAGCAGCGGCATGAGTCGCGGCCGGCGGCTGAAGCGCCTCTTGAAGCTGCTTTCCGGCCAGAAGGTGAGTGTGGTGGCGGTGGCGGTGGCGGTGGCGGTGGCGGTGGCGGTGGCGGTGGCGGTGGCGGTGGCGGTGGCGGTGGCGGTGGCGGTCGGGGCCTTTTAGAGCTCCTGCTGCCCACATCCATTCACTGCACGGACCTCCGGCGGCTATGGCAGTCAGTTAGTTAGTTAGCTACGGTTGGGAGCTACGGGCATAAGGGCCCTGTTCTTCTCCTAAATGGCAATCCCCCCGGGGGGAATGTTACCTCACCTTCCGAAGCATATGCCATGTGTGCTCAGATGCAAATGGTCGTCACGTGCCATCTGGGTTTCGCAGCGAGTTCGTACCACCGTACACACGGGGTACGAGATAAATCCCACGGCAGTCTGGTGTCCCGACGTACGACTTCCTACACCAGGGAAAGCAGTTCCACACTTAGGGTTTTAACTCCCCCCCCCCCTCCCCCCTCCCCCTAAGCCAACCCGTCGTCGCCAGGGTCTATAGGATCTTCTAGCGTTCTCTGCGGCCCCTCTGATTCAATGTGCCGCCACTCCCAACCCGCACTTACCCGCATATCTCCCACACACACACCACTCGCTCCTCTTTCCTTGGCAGCAGCTTCACTCGCTCGTGGTTCGTCTTTTCCCCACTCGCTCCCCCCCCCGCTCTAACCAACCCAACCAACCCAACCAACCAACCCACAGGTCAGTCGCGGTGTGTCCCGCCTGCGAATGCACGTGCTGATCGTGATCGGCGCCATGATGCTGGTGCACACGGTTTGCTTCATGCTGGTCATCATATACATTAACAAGCAGAAGCAGTTCATCACGGAGATCTCCGCAGCAGGTACAGTACGGCAGGGTGTACGGCACGTGATACGACGCGCATGACGTCGCGTCGTACGCGCACATGGGACTTCTTTAATTAGTGACGAGTGTGCGTTCCATCATCAGTGATAGCACGCGATCAACTCTCCTCATACCGTATACTCTGACGGTACTGCCGTACCGTGCCGTACACTCACACCTGTTCCCCGGGTTTTCCCCCTCCCGAGCCCCCCGCTCTACTTCATCTATGTTTCCCTACGTGTACGGCCCCCCGCAGGTGAGGCCATCGACCGTACATTCTACACCGCCATGTACACTCGCGCCATCGAGGCGGCCACTCGCTTTGCGGGCTTCTCTCCGTCCCACATATCCTCCCTGGAGTCCCGTCTCACTGCTGACGTGGACCGACTGGAGTACCTGCACCAGGTGGGGATAGTGCTGGTGGTGGGGTGGGGGTGGGGGGTGGGGGGTGGGGGTGTGGGGTGTGGGGTGGAGGTGGGGGGTGGGGGTGCGAGCGGGACAGGTCAGGGAGAGCGAGGCAGCAACAGCGGCAGCAGGAGGGGGAGGAGGAAGAGGGGGGGAGGTGGAGGAGGGGGGTTGGAAACAAAAGAACCTGCCAGGCACCTTTGGGGGGAAGGGTGGCCGCTGGTTTGCCACTCAGTCAGCTCGACAGCCAGACAGCCAGCCAGACAGACAGACAGACAGACAGGCAGCTGTGTCACCATCACTATAAAAGGAACCTTGGGCAGCGCCACTGCCGTGTGCCGTGTTCCCCTCGTGCCGCTTTTCGTGCCTTTCTCCCTTCTCGCCCTTTCCCCTTTTCCATCACATATTATTCAGCGTTTGCGAACCCCACCGCCTCCGACCGCCGACCATTATACTCTCTGTGGTCCCCTTTCCTGTTTGCCCCCGTGTGCACACATCCCCCGGGCTCAGGGGCTCTACCTGGGCTTCAGCAACCTCCGCCGCTCCGCAAGCACCCGTCTGAATAACCTTTGGGACCTGAAGCAATGGTGGGTGCAAGTGGTGGTGGTGCTGGTGATGTTTTCCGCGGCTTTTAGTGGGCGATGCAATGGCGAGAGTTGTGATGGGGCCCGATGCAACGGCATGCGAAGCACCACAACCACCAACCACCAGCACCCAACGTCCCGATCCCTGATGTGGGTTACCATCCAAACCCAAATGGGCTTTCACGCATCTGCTCTTACCCCTCCAACTGCCCAACTACCTAACTGCCCAACCGCCAACACAACGCCATCGCAGGAATGT